TTTTTCTTTTTAAAAAAATATTATTATTATTTTTTAGTTGCAGTGGGACACAATATCTTCATTTTATTTACTTTTATGTGGTGCTGAGGATCAAAACCAGGGCCTTGCACATGCTAGGTTTGAGTGCTCCACCGTTGAGCCACAACCCCAGCCCCAAATTCTTTTTCTTAAAAACCTTTCACTAAGGAATTTGTGGGCTCCCACATTCTTTAAATATCTAGGTTGGCTCTAACCTGATCCAAAATTACACTCTGGTCTGATAAAGATCTTCTATGTGCTCTTTTACTAGAGTAATTATTACCAGGTCATTTTTTAAATTTGTTCTTTTTAGACCTACATGACAGTAGAGTATATTTTGACATATACATGCATGGATGACCATGGCATTTTTTAAAAAAGTCTCTTTTTCTAAGCTCAAGGTTTTTCTGGTGAATTCACCTTTGGTCTTGCACCAAATAGTCCTGTTTTGTCTAACTGGAGTTAGCCCTTTTGTCTAACTGGAGTTAGCCCTTTGTTTTTCCTGCTGTCTTTATTCAGAGACCAATTATTCAAGGGTTAACTCTCAAATACACTGGAAAAGGAAAGAGATCTTCTCCATTGAAGAGTTCTAAGGAGGAAGAAGGAACAGTGGTAATGGTGGGAGTGAATTTGCTACCATCTTTTTGATTTCAGTGTCCACCATGACTGATAGACTCTATTCCTAACATCTTCAACTGCTCAGGTCCTTCCCATGTCTGAGTCATACTGTAAAAATCTGTGACAGGCTCTATTTTAATTTCTAAGGGGTTAAATCTGACAATCTGTATAGTTCAATATCTGCAGCTCTTTTGTCTCCAACCTATAGGGGATCTAATACTTGGAAAAAAAAAAAAGCTATAAAATCTTCATTTTCTTTCTTTCTTTTTTTTTTTTAAAGAGAGAGAGAGAGAGAGAGAGAGAGAGAGAGAATTTAAATATTTATTTTTTCAGTTTTCGGAGGACACAACATCTTTGTTGGTATGTGGTGCTGAGGATCGAACCCGGGCCGCACGCATGCCAGGCGAGCGCGCTACCGCTTGAGCCACATCCCCAGCCCCCAAAATCTTCATTTTCTTTCGGTTTCTATGTATATGTGTGCACACCTAGGTATGTATTATAAGTTATGTCTACATACACGCTTATATCTATAAATCATATAAATAAATGAGCACTCATAAATAAAGAATGGATCCAAATGCCTTTCAGTTCACATGACTTAAGTTGGTTAAATGGTTAAGAGTAAGGATGTCTTTAAAATTACTAAACAAGCTAGGATGTGGAGAAAAAGGAATGTTTTTTATATTGTTGGTGGGATTGTAAATTAGAACAACCACCATGTAAATCAGTATGGTGGCTCCTTAAAAGACAAGGCATGGAACCACCACATGACCCAGCTGAACCACTCTTCAGCATTTATCCTAAAGAATCCTAAAGTCATCATACTATAGTGATACATGCATACCAGGTTTACATCAGTACAATTCACAATAACCAACATAGGTGGCCATCCACAGGTGAATAGATAAAGGAAATGTGGTATATATACACCATGGAGCTTTTTGTTTGTTTGGGGTACTGGGTATTAAACCCAGGGGCACTCAACCACTGAGTTCCATCCCCAGTCCTTTTTTTTAGTATTTTATTTAGAGACAGGGTCTTACTGAGTTGCTTAGGGCCTTGCTAAGTTGCTGAGGCTGGCTTTGAACTCATGATCCTTCTGCCTCAGCCTCCCAAGCCTTGGGGACTACAGGCGTGTGCCATCATGCCTGGCTCCCCATGAAGAAAAATGAAATTATGTCATTTGTAGGAAAATGGATGAAACAAGAGACTACTATTTTAAGCGAAATAAGCCAAACTCTGAAGGTCAAGGATGTATGCTTTCTCTCCTATGTGGAAGCTATAGAGGGAAAAGGAAAAGAAACATCTCTTCAAAGGGAGATTAGTAGAGGAAAGGGACCGGGGTGGGAGGGAGGGAGGGAGGGAGGAAGTGCTGGGGATTTTAGCCAAATTATATTGTTATATCGTGTGCATGTATCAATATGTAACAACAAATCCCATCATTATGTACAACTATAATGCATCAATTAAAAACGTGGAAAGAGAAAAAAAATTACTAACCCACACATTTCTCTAGGTAGTCAAACAATCAATAGAGCGTTGGATTCTATAAAATGTTTAAAATGAAATACCTATTGCTTCTAGGATTTTTCTTCAGCAGGCTTGTTGAATATCTTGATTTTCATGGGTAACTTAAATATAACAACTAAATGGATAAATTAGATTTAACATAAATGGGATTTTCATAAATATATTTGTTAGAAGAGACACCTGATTAATGTGCAAAGTTATAGTTCTGAAACATCAACAAGTACTATTGGCTTCTTGAATTCTGTAAGACAACATATATATATTGGGGTCTATTAATATATTTTTATAATTTGTTGGTAAATAGAAAAATAGTTTAAGAGTGATCTGTTTCTGGGTCTTCACTAAAAAGCCAGGTGTTACTAAGAATTCAAATTCTAAGATTCTATAAACCCATATGCAAACAGTACAAAAAGCTCCAGCTGTAAAGTACTGTAAAAAGCATGAAGTATTTTGTCTTATTAAAAAGGCGTAATTTGTCTAAGTTCAGAAGTTTCATAAGGATTTTTCAAAAGATAAATTTCACTGGTATTGGGGATTTAACCTAGGGGTACTTTACCACTGAACTACATCCTTAGCCCTTTTTGTTTTCTTTTGAGACAGGGCCTCCTTAAGTTGCTGAGGCTGACCTGGGACTTGCAATCTGATCCTCCGGTCTTTAGCCTCCCCAGTTGCTGGACTTACAGGCACACACTACCATACCTGATTCAAAAGGTAAATTTTTATAAATACCAGCAACTGGAAAAAGGGATGTATAAGAATTTTATAAGCATGGGAATATATTTTCTTAAGAAAAATTGAAAGAAAAAAGAAATGTTTCAGGAAGAGAAAGTATTCTGTATGATAAAGTAATATTCTTGTCCTAAAGTCCAAGATAGGGCTGGGGTTGTGGCTGGGCAGTAGGGCACTAGCCTGCCATGTGTGAGGCACTGGGTTCGATTCTCAGCACCACATATAAATAAATGAAATAAACATCTATCAACCACTAAATAAATAAATAAATAAATAAATAAAGTCCAAGATAAAAAGGAGAGGACAAGACAAAAGATGTAAACAGGTGAAAGAGTATTCCCATAAGTTACAAAAGATCTGTGAATGGTAAGTCTCAAAAAGTCTATATGTGATTAAGTTGGCTAGAACCAGCAGAGTCCATTAAAGTTATTTAAAGATGCTTTTAGTTTGTTTTTTGTTATCAGGGATTGAACCCTGAGCCACATCCCCAGCCTTTTTTATTTTGAGACAGGGTCTCCCTAAGTTGCTTAGGACCTCGATAAGTTGTTGAGGCTGGTTTTGAACTCACAATCTTCCTGCATCAGCCAGTGGAATTACAGGCATGCACTATGATGCCTGGCTTTAAGATCACACCCCCACCACTAAGGTCAATTTTTAATACACTGACATAGAACAAAGTCTAATTATCTATGTTTAAAAACAACAGGTCTCATTAAAACAAAACCTTATAAATGGCTCTCTCTCAAAGCTACAAATAAATTATGATCCTGGACAGAGCACAACTGAAATACAGCCATTAAAACAACTTTTTTAAGGGACTGTTATTTGTCACCTGGGTTTCACCTTTTCTAAGAAATAAAATTTCTTTTTCCTTTATCTCAAAATTATGTCTTTATTAATATCAGGGACACAGCAAAGACCAAGTTTTCGGCAACATTATTATCAAGATTGCTTGTGTCTATCATGTTTACAAATCAATAAGTTTTCGCTCTTGCTAACTGCACTGTACAACTGCTCTCTGTTGGTGTTTTGCAGAAGTTGTGCGCTTGGAACAGAAGAGCCCAGAACAGCCGCAGTCCAACAGCAAGCAGCCACCGCCCTGGGCGGACAGGCTACCGCGCTGACTTCCAGTACGACGACCCTAACTAAGCAAAGGGGTAACTGTAAAGTCGCAGACATTAAAGGCAGAAGCCGCGTTCCCGTTTCCATCGTGGTGGAACTGGCCTCCAGATGTCTAAAAGGCCCGGGGTCCCCTTCCCGCTCCCCGGCACGCGTCCGATCTGCGTGTGGGTGGTCTCCTTTCCCATCTCACTACCACCCATGATTTTCCAGTTATTCTGTCACCCCGTGATTTTCTTCCGGCAGCACTGACGATCAGCCGGAAAACACTGAGACGTGGGAGGAGAGGGCCGAAGAGGAAAAGGCTCCAAAGACAGCCGAACTCCAGGGCTTCCGTCCTGCGATCCCTTTAAGAACCTCTAGGGACCCGCCGTCCCAACCGACCCCAGTTTTAACCGAAACCTAACCCGGACTTCCCCCTCTGGACTCAAATCGGACCAACTTTGGATTTTCCCTCCCCGGATGACCAATCAGATTCTGTTGCCAGGCAGACTAGAGCCGCCGCCTGTGCGGGCCGGCGCCGAGTCCCGGCGGCGGCGGCGACCAATGAGCGAGCAGGCCGTCGGAGTATCCGGGCAGACGGCGGCCGGGAGCCATTCAGAAAAAGCGCAGCCCAGCAGCGCAGGCGCCCGCCGGCCGGCCGAGCGCGGGGCCGGCAGAGTGAGGGCGGCCGCGAGGTAGTTTCTCTTTCTGCTTATCTTTATTGTGGCGTGCGTTGAAGGCGGCCGCTCCGAGGTAGGGAGGGGAGATGGGAGTTGGGAGGAGAGCAAAGAAAAGATAGATTCCGGCCTGTCCGCAGCTCCCCGCACGCGCACGTGTCCGAGTCGGGACCCCTCCCTCCCCGGCTCTCCGACGCCCGGCTCGGAGTCCCGCGGCCCGGACCCGCCGGGGCGGGAGGGAGGGGGCAGGGCGGGGGCGCCGGCGGGCTGTCGTGGGAGATGACGTAGGCCCGCGCGGGCGCGGGCGCGGGGCGGCGGGAGCGGCGACACTGGGCTGGGAGCTGGCCGGCCTCTCCCCGCCCTAGCGAGGCAGGGCCCGCGCGGCCCCGTGCTTTCTCACCTCGCAGGTAAGATGAGGAGAACTGAACTTTGTTTTGCGGTTGTTGTTGCCGTGTTTGAGGGGGACAAGGACAGCTCGGGACTCCAGAAGAAATGAACATTTCTTTCTAACGTGGATTCCCCACCCACCTGTCTATTCCCGGACGGTTTTCCAATTTTAGGAGTCTTAGAAAGGTGGGCAGAGAGAATGGAGATGGCAAAGATCTCTTTGGGTACAGAGGGCCCTGGTGAAGTAATGGAATGATTTCTGGATTTTGGAGACAGTTAGTGGCGAGAAAAAGATCACTGGGGAAATCTGGAGGCTCTTAGTTTTTCTTTCTGGGCAGAGATGAGGGCTGCCCTGAGATCTTCAGGGGAAGAGAAGGCCAGTGTGAGTTAAATCTTCATATCCTGTCCCTTCTCAGCTCTAGCCCTCATGCCAGGATGGCAGAAGATGAGCCTGATGCTAAGAGCCCCAAGACTGGGGCAAGGGCCCCACAAGGTGCTGAGGCTGGGGAACCCACAACCCTTCTCCAAAGGATCCGAAGTACCATTTCGTAAGTACTCATTGCTATCTCCATATTCCATATCCTACTCCAGAGCGCAGGATAGATCCCTGTAGCACTTCACTTTCTTGGGAGATGAATTGCGTCTTCCCAGACAGGTGCCTCTGAGCAAGGCAAGATTCTTGGTCATTCTTGGTCCACAGCCCTTGAGCACCGGCCCGGTGTTTCAGGCCTTTACCCTCCCTAGCAGTCAAAGGGATGGGAAAACAGTGTGTGTGACCTCCAGCTTTCTTTTTTTCTCCACAGCAAGGCCGTACAGAACAAAGTAGAGGGAATCCTGGTAAGCATGTTGGGAAGAGAACAGCAGAGAGATGGCATTGGTGGGGGATGAAGATGGTGGGATGCTATGGGTTTATGTCTACCTTGTCAGAAGATATTGGCTTTGCAACTTGCTGCCAGTTTGATTTTGAGCATCTTACCTCATCTCTCTGTGACCCCTTGTGTACATGTCCAGTAGAGATAAGATCAGAGCTGATCCCCTCTGCTTTCTTCTCTCTGTGAGAGCCCATAGGGTTCCTTAGAGCACAGTGAGCACCCAGCAGCCTCCAACCTCAAATATCATTTATTTATTTTTTGGTGTTGGAAATCATCAAACCCTGGGTCTGGTGCCTGTGAGGCCAGTGCTACACCACTGAGCTATCTCCCTAGCCTCAAATCATTTCTAAGGTCCCTTCCTAGTCTTGACAATCTCTAAGTCAGCTGAATTCAGACTTTGTGTAGGGATCAGGGGGTCCTACATTTCATTGTTCTTGGCCTTATTATTTCTCCTGTCTCTCTGTTCCCTCCTACTTCAGCAAGATGTTCAGAAATTCTCAGACAATGACAAGCTGTATCTCTACCTTCAGCTCCCCCCAGGTCCCAGCACTGGAGAAAAAAGGTAAGCCTTGGTGGTAGTTTCGGATGTCAGAGGTTCTCATTCTCGCTGAGAATGGCAAGCTGAGTTGGATTCATAGCTGTTGGCCTTGATCAAAAGGGAGGCCCCTGCCTTGGGTTTGGTTTCTCAGAGAACAGTGAATCTGGATGAAGTAATTTGGTTCAACATCATTGAAGTGTTAGTCTGGGAAGGACTGTAACACTGAACATGATGTCAGGTGGGTTCTTTTGTCTCATGAATTTAAAGAATGAGATACATGTAAAGGACAGTAGAATAGCAAGATTTACTTAAAGCAGAAAAAGCTCCTGAGGTGCAGGAGGGGTCCCAAGGGAGGGTACGGGTCTACTGTCTTCTGTCTGGAGTTTAATTTTTTTTTTAGTTATAGATGACAGGATGCCTTGTTTATTTTTATGTGGTGCTAAGGATCAAACCCAGTGCCTCATACATGCTAGGCAAGTGCTCTGCCACTGAGCTATAGCCCAAGGCCTGCCTAGGGGTTTTTAATGGACTTGATCTGTCCCTATAGGTGACTGGTAGGATGACATGTAAATATAGGGTTCAGAAAGGGGCTAATCAACTCTATTTTGTCATCTTGAGCAAATCAGGAGAGAGTGATTTCTAAGCCTTTATTAGCATGAGGGTAGAGGTGAGGGTTTATTGGTATAAGAGGAAGTACTATAGAGAACATTTTGTGGTTGGTCATTGCTAGGGGTTGTTAAGGAACTAACCTCGTGGCTAGGACCAGCTGGGGACAGAAGCTTAGTTTCCCAATCCCCTCTTTCTCCTTTTTTTCTCTGAGACCCTTTCCCTAGCTGCCTATGTATGGTCTATCTTCCTGTCTCAGAACCAGGACAGTTGTTGAGATCTTGGTAATACTTGTTCCTTTAACTTCTTTTGCAGCTCAGAGCTAAGCCCACTCACCAATGAGGAGTACATGTATGCCTATCGGTGGATCCGCAACCACCTAGAAGAGCACACAGATACCTGTCTGCCAAAGCAGAGTGTTTATGATGCCTATCGGTGGGTGAAGGGGTTATGCCTGAGTTGGTAGGCATAGGACTAACCCTCATCCCTGGAGAGAACCCTGCCTTGATACAGCCTGACTTTTAAAAGAGTTGCCCACACAATCCCTAGGAATCCTCTGTATCCTCCTTCTTTGAGTAACTTCCCATTCTGTACTCTACTCACTCAGGAAGTATTGTGAGAGTCTTGCCTGTTGCCGCCCACTCAGCACAGCCAACTTTGGCAAAATCATCAGAGAGATCTTCCCTAACATCAAAGCCCGAAGGCTTGGTGGCCGGGGTCAGTCCAAGTATCCTTGACTGGAGAGGATGGAGCTGGAGGACATGGGGAAGAAGACATAGGGTATGGGGAACCAGCAGTGGGAACAGCCTAACTTGCCTAAGGGGTTGGGAGAACCCCAAGTGTTGGCTGCTCCTTAACTTGCATCAGATACTGCTACAGTGGCATAAGAAGGAAGACCTTGGTATCTATGCCACCCCTACCTGGACTGGACTTAAAGGGTTCTGAGAGTGTAAGTAACGGCCCTCCCCTCTTCTCTTCCCAGTAAAAGTCGGAGGTCTTCGGGACATGTTTTAAGGACTGACACAGCCTAGCTCATTGTACACATTGTTTCTGGGTGCCCTTTGGCTACCCTGAGACCAAAGTAGATGAAAAAGAGTTTGTGGGTTCTGGGGCAGGATGGGTAGAGGCTACTCCCAACCCCAGTCTATTTTCAGCTTTGGTCAATTAGTAGTGTCAGGAGGAAAGGTCCTTTAGTATGGAATGTGATTGGGCATTTCCTTTCCCACCACAGCCAGAAATGGGTCCAGAAGTAACCCCCGCACCTCGGGATGAACTGGTAGAGGCAGCCTGTGCCCTAACCTGTGACTGGGCAGAGCGAATCCTGAAGCGGTCTTTCAGTTCCATCGTTGAAGTCGCCCGCTTCCTGCTACAGCAGCATCTCATCTCTGCCCGATCTGCACATGCCCACGTGCTTAAGGCCATGGGGCTTGGCGGTGTGTAGAACCTCTCTTATGTTTAGTACTTCTCTCATTTCTGAGAAACCCTCAGCCACTTTCCACTTTAAAGGCCTTCCCACATCCTAGAATAGACACACCTTGGAATTGCCTTCTATTCTTGGAGACTCTTCTTTGTTTTTTAAATTTATTTTTTAGGTGTAGATGGACACAACACAATGCGTTTTATTTTTATGTGTTGCTGAGGATCGAACCTGGGTTCTGCCCGTGCTAGGCGAGTGCTCTACTACTGAGCCACAATCCCAGCCCATATTCTTGGAGACTCTTCTTTTTTTGTTTTTCTTTTTGGTACTGGGCGTTGAACCCTGGGGTGCTTTACCACTGAGCTACATCCCCATCCCTTTTTTATTTTGAGAAAGTAGGTTTAATAGCCTAACCCTCCCCATCGCTGGGATTATAGGCATGTGCCACCATGCCTGGCTTCCTGGACAACCTTCCAAGGCATGCTTTAGATATCCTGCTTTTCCCCGCCTGTCCCTTCATTCCTCAGTACCCTCCTTCACCCTCACTTTATCATCTTTTCTGGGCACCTCTGCAGAAGAGGATGAACATGCCCCTCGGGAACGGTCATCGAAACCCAAGAATGGAGTAGAGAACCTGGACGGGGGAGCCCATAAGAAACCAGAGAGACTGGCCCAGGTAAGGAGGTCTTGTCCCTGACTTGCTACCCTGGGCTGGGGGTTTAGTATAAGTATATCCTTTTCCCAGTGGGTCCCCAACTTTTCCAACTCTGGTTTCTCCAGTGCCTACATTTCCTCCAGTATTCAGTCTTCACACCTTACTGTGGTCTTCTCTGCATTTTAGTCTCCAAAGGAGTTGGAAACCCGGGCTGGGCCCAGCCCTCAGGCACGTGGAGAGCGCAAGAAGAGTGTAATTGAGAGCTCTGCACCATCAGCCAGTAACCCGCAGGTCAATGCTCTAGTGGCCCGGCTGCCTTTGCTCCTTCCCAGGGCCCCTCCCTCACTTGTTCCACCAATCCGAGTTTCTTCACCCATCCTGGCCCCCAAGCTTTCTTCAGGCACCCTACTGCCCCTGCCCAGTAGGGTTGGGGGACCCCAGGCAGCTGTGCCTATCATTAACATGATCTTACCAACAGTTCCTGCTCTGCCTGGACCTGGGCCAGGGCAAGCTTCACCTGGGGGACTCACTCATCCCAGGGGCACAGAGAACAAGGAGGTAGGCATAGGTGGTGACCCAGGACTCCATGATAAGGGTGTCAAGAGGACAGCTGAAGTACCTGTGAGTGAGGCCAGTGGACAGGACGCACCAGCTAAAGCAGCAAAGCAGGATACAGAGGATGTAGCAAGTGATGCCAAAAGAAAACGTGGGCGCCCTCGAAAAAAGTCAGGTGGAAGTGGGGACAGAAATTCCACCCCCGAGAAGTCAGCAGCTGCCACGGACTCTGCCCAGTCCTCGAGGTTACCATGGGAGACATGGGGCTCAGGAGGGGAAAGCAACTCAGCTGGAGGATCAGAGAGGCCAGGGCCAGGGGTAGAGGCTGAGCAGGGAACAATGTTTGCCCAAGCTCAGGAAGATGGTGCCGTTTCCAAAGGAGGAAGGGGCCCCAGTTCCCGGCAAGCCAAAGAAGTAGAAGATAAAATTCCTCTTGTCACCTCAAAAGTGAGTGTCATCAAGGGCAGTAGAAGCCAAAAGGAGGCTCTTCAGTTGGTAAAGGGAGAGATAGATGCAGCAGCACAGGGTAATAAAGTCTTAAAGGGGCATGTGCTTCAAAGTTCTTTAATCCATGAGCGTAAAGACCCAGAAGCAACACCCCCATGATATCTGTGGAGAAGAGTGTCTGTTGTCCATATATTAACTCTGCCTGCCTGCCTGGTAGAAGCCCTTCTTTACTGCACTTGCTTCTCATTTGCTATTCTTTGCCTAAGGTAGTCATTCTCTGTAAGGACAGCTGAGTCGCCCAGTCTTACAGAGTGCCTGGTGGCTACCTCTAACCTTTCCAGCTTAATACCTTGGCTTTAGTGTAACCAATAAATCTGTAATGACCTTCTTACCTGAATCCCTGTGCTCTCCTATGGGAACACAGGGATGGGTAAGTATGATGGATATACAGGTTAGAGATTTTCTGGTTTTCAATATAGAAAAACCTAACTCAAACTGGCTTAAGAAAAAAGAATTGCTGGGTGTGGTGGTGCATACCTGTAATCTCAGCTACTTGGGAGGCTGAGGCGGGAGGATTACAAGTTTGAGGCCAGCCTAGGCAACTAGATCAGGCAATTTAGGGAGACCATGTCTCAGAATAAAGGTATAGGCAGAAAAAAGTGGCAGAGACACTTGGGGGTGAGGGTTGGTGGGTAGAGAAAGTAAAAAGGATTTATTGTGTGTAACTGGAAAATCCAGAGGTAGTGCCAGATCCAGTGAAGCTTGGTATGGTTGCTCAGTATGTCTCTAAATATCTGATTGGTTTTTAATCTCACTGCTCAGCCTAATGTAAAATCATCTTAAGTCTGGGCTACCTCATAGCTACCAGCACTCCTAGGATTACGTTTACTCATTTATGTCTAGCCAGAAAGAGAAGGTATCATTGTGCCTGAAAATCCTGAAGATTGGTTCTGATTAGTCCAGCCTGGGTCAACATCCACCCCTCAGTGTGGCCAGTAGGATGATACATTAAGTTGCTTATTCTATACCATGGACCATACCATTGGGGAAAAAGGTGGTGGAATCAGAGTCCCCACATGGAGACTGGGCAAGGGGAGTTGCTAGGAGGCAGCTGACACCCAACTACAACTACAAAGTGCATGTGGTCTTGCCTTGCTGGGCTGAGACCAGCTAGGGCTGCTTCTTTTCTCAGTCTTGTATTTCCCTTCCTGTAACTCTAACTTCTTTCTTCTTGTGCCAGTCCCAGAAAGAAGGAGAGGGAATTCATTCTTTAGGGACTCTTCTCAGTCTTACTTAGATGGCACCATCTTTTTTTCCACCTATATCTCAGTGATGGAGCTCTTTCCATTTCCTGTTTGAACTTTCTCCTCATTTTTGCTTCCCTATCTCCTTACTGACACTTTCACCAACTAGAGTGAAAGATTTACTTCCTAGTCATTTCTCTAAATTCATTCTGCGTCCACCAGGTGTCAGTCTCTTGTCGTACATAATCAGGACGGACTTGGCAAGACTGGGGTTTAGGCTAGAAGTATGGAAGGACGTTGTTCTGCATGTCCTGGAGCACTAAAGGAAGGAGATCCAGACCTTCCGCATGTGTCCCTGGGAAAAGCAGTAAACCAACTCCTTTGTTCTCTACATAGGGTAGCTTTGGTCAGGGAATCTTGGTTCTTCCCAAGAAATACGGATTTGTTTCAGGGAGATACTCATTTGCCCATTTGTTTCCATCACAGCAGATTTTTTTTAAAAAAATATGTAATATTTGATATATAAAGAATATATGTAACATGAGTAAATTATGAAATATAATAATAAAATGAGTAACTATGACCCTGTACTCGATTCACACATTAAAATACCATTGAGTTTTTGATCCTCCCGATCTTGTCCCCCTTCCTGTCTTTAGAGGTGAAGACTGTCCTTAATTTTGTGTTTATTAATTAATTGTTTTATATATATATATATTTTAACCACATATGTATACTTTAAAAGTATATTGTTTAGTTTTGCTTGTCTTTTAGCTTTACAAAAATGTTACTCTACTACTACCTTGATGTTTGCCTTTTTGCACTTACCATTGTTTCTGAGATTCATCCATGTTGTAATAGCTGCGATTAACCCATTTTCATCTGTATAATATTACGTCAAGAGCATAAACCACAAATTATTCACCATTCACCTCTCAATGCATATTTGGGCTGTTTCCAGATTTTTGCTATTATGAACAATGCTGCTATGAACATTCTTGTACATGTTAGTGCCTTTGTTTTTAGCAAGATTTCTAAAAAGGTTTCTAAGATGGTCCTTTTGATGGTACACCTTTTGAGCTGGAAATGTTCCCTCTTGTTTTATTCTCTGGATGAGTTTATATCAGAATGAAATGAACTGTTCTTGAATATTTGGTAAAACTCACCTATAAAGCCACCTTAGCCTGGTGTTTCTTTGTGGGAATAATTTTAACTATTGGTTCAAGTTCTTTATTAACATAATTAGACTATGTAGGCTTTCTGTTTCTTCTTGAGTCAGTTTAGACCAAGTGTTTCCTTAGAATTTTTGCAATTCATATCTTTTCTTCCTCTTATTTTCTTACATGATGTACTTTTTCTTTTTTTTAAATTCTTTTTTTTTAATATTTATTTTTTAGTTGGACATAATATCTTTACTTATTTTTATGTGGTGCTGCGGATCGAACCCAGGGCCTCGCACCTGCTAGGCGAGCACTCTACCACTGAGCCACCCCAGCCCACATGATATATTTTTTCTATTTATTTTTTTCTGCTCCTGGGTAGTTCATATCTTCCTTTTCATTTCTTCTGTTTACTTGCACCTCTTTTTTGCTCTTGATCAGTTGTACCAGAAATTTGTGTATTTTATTTTTTTGGTACCAGGGATTAAACCCAAGGACACTTAACCACTGAGCCATATCCCCAGCCTGTTTTATTTTCATTTAGACAGAGCCTCCCTAAGTTACCCAGGCTGGCCTTGAACCTGAAATCCTGCCTCAGCCTCCTGAGTAGCTGGCATTACAGGCATGTGCTACTACACACCCAGTTGAGCTTCTCTCGTGTGTGTTTTCTGTTTTCTTCATAACTGCTCATGTATTTATTTTCTTCTGCTTTCCTAAGGTTTTAATTTTATGTTCTTTTACTTATGTAATTTTAAGACTCTTCTCTACATCCTATATATTTTTGTATTATACAGTATTTTGATTATTATTTAGTTCTAAAGGTATTTAAATTAGCTTTGCCACTTTTTTGATTCATGACTTGTGGGCTGGAGGATACTGGGGATCAGACCCAAGGCCTTGTACATGCTAGGCAAGTGTCTGCTACTGAGTTAGGTCCCCAACCCCTCAAATTATTTAGAAATGTTTTGTAAATTTCCAAATATCTGGAACTTAAAATTTTATTTTTTAATACTAATTTTCAAACTAATAATTTGTATTCAGGAAATGTAGTGTGCAGTGTGTCTGCTACCCCCCACCCTCACCCCCAGTGCTGGGGATTGAATCAAGGGCCTCATGGATGTTGGACAAACACTGTATCATTTACCTATATCCCCAGCCCTTTTTATTTTATTTATTTTTAAAATTTTATGAATTTATTATTTTTTGTGTGTATGTGATCCTAGAGATAGAGCCCAGGGGTGCTTTATACCTGAGCTTTATCCCCAGCCTTTATTTTTGGTGGTGGTAGTAAACAGGGATTGAACTCAGGGGCACTCAATCACTGAGCCTCATCCCCAGCCCTATTTTATATTTTATTTAGCAACTCTCACTGAGTTGCTTAGCACCTCACCATTGCTGAGGCTGGCTTTGAAATGGTAATCCTCTTGTCTCAGCCTCCTGAGCCACTGGGACTACAGACGTGTGCCACTGAACCTGGCCCAGCCCTTTTTTGAGAGTTTCACTAAATTGCCAAACTTGCCTCCAACATACAATCCTCTATTCTCATTTTCCCAAGATTCTGGAATTACAGGAGTACACCACCACACCCTGCCCTGCTACCAATTCTCAAATTTGATGGGATTATTTAATATTCTGCAACTATTTTTTCCATTCCTAGTCCTTTTTACTTTTTGAGACAGGATCTCACTAAATTTCAAAGGCTGGCCTTGAACATGTGACCCTCCTGCTTCAACCTCCCTTGCTAGGATTACAGTCATGCGCCACTGAACAGTCTTCTCTAACTTATTTTAGATGTCTGAATCTCTTTCGTTGTTTTCCCATCAGAAAAAAACCTACTCTTGGTAGCTTGTTTCCTTGTATATTTTGTATTTGGGGGTTTAGAACTCATTTCGTTAAATTTTATGGAAGTCCTAAGGGTCTAAATTGAGGGGTACTTTCCTCCAGAGGGGAATGTACATTTGCTTGTCAGGAACCAAGCGATGTTCTTGACCTGGGACTATGTTAGCCCCTTCAAGAGTCCAGGTTTAGTGGGATAGTGCATGTAGCTCAGTAGTTGAGGTTTTTCTACAATGTGTGAAGCCATGGGTTTGAGTGGGGAGGGAGTCCAGGTTTAATTAAAAAGTCCCAGATTTTTCACACCTGCCTGGACTAGACCCAAGATTGACTCTGTTCACAATGCTGACTTTGGCACTTGTCCCCAGATTAAATCTATTTCTGCATGTTGCTTATCCTTTATATAATAGTTTATAGCTTAAAGTTATATATTTTTTCTCCTCCTCTCCTCCCATCTTCCCTTCCTTCCTTTTTTCCTTTTATTTTAAGATGGTGCCTCCTCCTTTCACCCAAGTTGGCCTTAAACTCCTGGATTCAAGTGATCCTCCTGCCTCAGCCTCCCAAGTAGTTGGAACAACAGGTGTGTGCCACACCTGGCTACTTTACTGCCTTAGTTTCTAATAAACTCAGCAATGTGCTAAAAAATATGAAATTGCTGTAATTTATCTAGAATCTAGTTGTAGTTTAATGGGAAAATGCTTTCTTTTATCCATGCTGCCAAAAGCAGGAATCCATTAATGTGGTTTTGATTAGGCACTTGTTAAAAGTTGTTTTCCTGCTGGGAATGGTGGCACACACCTGTAATCCCAGAGGCTCCAGAGGCTGAGGCAGGAGGATTGTGATTTCAAAGCCAGCCTCAGTTTAGCAAGGCCCCAAGCAATTCAGTGAGATTCTGTCTCTAAATAAAATACAAAAAAGGGCTGTGGCTCAGTGGTTTAGTGCCCTTTGGTTTAATTCCTAGTACCAAAAAAAAGTAAAAAAGAAGAGGGCATTCCAGGAAAAACAAGGTTGTAGAGATGTGGCGTGGTGATGCAGAATAGTAATAAACATCTCAACCAGAAAAGATGTACATTAACAACAGTAATTAATAAACTAGAGTCCAGGAGCAGTGGTACGTCGGGAGGCTGAGGTAGAACTGCAAGTTTAAGACTAGCCTCAGCAACTTAGCAAGACCTTGTCTCAAAAAATAAAAAGGACTGGGATGTAGCTCTGGTAAAGTGCCCCTGTGTTCAATCCCCAATACCTAGAAAGAAAAGAAAAACTATATGCTGAGGACACAGCTTACTGTCAGACTGCTTGTCTCACATGCCTGAGACCCTGTGCTCACTCTTCAGCACTACGATAGATAAATGGGTAAGCAAACTAGAAGACGAACACAGACCATTATCAATCATCTAGTTTTTAATTTTTTTTAAGTTATAGAGGGATATAATACCTTTATTTATTTGTTTTTTATGTGGTGCTGAGGATCAAACCCAGTGCCTCACACATGCTAGATGAACACTCTACCACTGAGCCACAGTCCCAGCCCTATCTGTTGATTGAAAAAATAAATGAATGAAAGGCATGAAGTTTGTATTAGAGAATAGGGAACTGGAGTCCAAGGAACTATTCAGGCAGCTACTGCTGTGATCCTTATGTGAGATGACTGACCCAGGCTGCTGACAGATTACAGGTGATAGGCATATGGAAAAATAAACCACTGGTACTAGGATAGAAGCATCCAAGTAAATATTGTCCTTACCAAGACGTAGGTTGGAGATGTATCCATTTACTAGGATACCAGGCTACTGGATGATTTTTATATTTGCATGAGTGTTATGGGATTTAAGAGTAGCTTCATCTACACTGTTTTTAAAATGTAACAAAACAAGTTGTTATTCTATAGTTCAAGCAATCTTCAATTTTTAGATGAAGGGCCGAACTTAGATTTGGGGAAGTATATACTGCTTCTACTCTACCATTCCTAACTCTCCCTTTAGCAACAATTCTCTGTTTCCCCACTCCCATTATTCCCTGCCCTCCATGTCTTTTTTTCATTTTAATGTTACCATAAAATAAAATTTAATAAAGTAATCTTTCTATTAAATGAAGACAAACTCTATAGGCCTAGTCTATGACCTCAAATAAATGAATCTATTTATGTGGTTAACAATCTTTCTTTAGAAACTAAAGCAAATGTTGCATCCACAAAGCATACTGAATGGGGGAATTAATGTCATTATGTATTTGTCTATAAGTGTTTTTCTCATATTTGGTTCCTCAGTAAACCTACATCATCTGCTAATTTCATCCTATGAGAGAAAACTAAGCACTTTATACATACAGATGGACAGATAAATCTCACAATATTTCTTATATACTCATAAGGGAGCACTTGCCTAGAAAACGCAAAATCCTGGGTTGAACACAACACCACAAAAAAAAAGGAGAAGAAATGCTCATAGGGAGACATTCATTCACTGGAAAGATGAATTAGGTTCATATCTTAGCTTTTCTGATTAACATATGATTTGGTGGGGGGAGGTGTTTACGGGGATTGAACTCTGGGGTACTTGACCACTGAGCCACATCCCCAGCTCTATTTTGGTATTTTATTTAGAGACAGGGTCTCACTGAGTTGCTTAGTGCCTTGCTAAATTGCTAAGGCTGGCTTTGATCCTCCTGCATCAGCCTCCCAAGCCCCTGGGATTATAGGTGTGTTCCACCGTGCCCATTTATTTAGCCCAGTTTTTTCAAACTGTAGATTGAATCCATTAATGGGTTGTAAGATCTGTTTAGCAGAATGCAAAACAATTTTTTAAAAAGTGAAATAAAATTGAATCAAAATATCAAGAGTGTATTGCACATAGAGTCAATATTGTTTCATGAAACTTATTTTAGCTAAGTTATGTTTATGTGTTCTTCAGTGGTCATGATAAATAAAATGCATTTATTTTGGAATGAAGTAGAACAATTTTTAAAAGCAATGACTTAAATCATTCTGAAGCTCAGTTCCCATAATATGAAATACAGTCTCTTTCACGGGGGTTATAGTGAGGTATAAATGAGGTAATGTTTGTGTTCATACATAATTATTGCTCAAAAAATAACTGTTAGCTGCTTTTTCATTTCTCAGGGAAGAAAAGCCCATAATATCTATGATTCAGGAAATAAATTAACTCTTCCTAAAAAAATATTAAGCCACAAGGGTATTTGAGACATAAGTGGAACTATGTTATGACATAGGTCCTCTATTTTTATGAACTTTTTAACAATAAGCCTACTTCTTTCCCCTATTTGATGAAATTTAAACAAGACCAATAAATAACATTGTCTTGCCCTGTTGGTACTTTCCTGCACTCCCCAAAACCCAGTGTACCACACATGCATATTTTCCCACCAAGGCAAGAGGCTTCAAATGTATACACAACAATGTGGGTTCCTTTATAACCACCTGTCATCCACGTACCACCATTCACACCTGAATGGCTCCCTGGGATCTCAGAGGCGATTTTTTTTTTTTTTTTAATCAAAAGAGAATTAAAAGAAAAAAAAAAAAAAAAAAAAAGGTTCTGCCTACCACAGTGGCACACATCTAGGATCCCAGTAACTTGGGAAGCTGAGGTAGGAAGATTATAATTTTGAGGCCAGCCTCAGCAACTTAATGACGCCCCCTTAGCAACTTAGACACTGTCTCAAAAATAAAAAATAAAGAAAATAAAGATAGATGTGGCACATGCCTGTAATCCCAGCAACCCAGGAGGCGGAGACAGGAGGATTGCGAGTTCAAAGCCAGCCTCAACAATTTAGTAAGGCCCTAAGCAATTTAGCAAGACCCTGTCTCAAAATAAAATATACAAAATCCAGCTGGGATGTTGCCCAGTGCTTAAGTGCCCCTGGGTTCAATCCCCAGTTCCAAAAATAAATAATAAAAAGTACTGGGGATGTAGCTTAGTAGTAAAGTACCAAGTTCAATCCCCAATAACCCTCACCCCTCAAAAACAAAGGTTCAGTGGGATGGGGGATTTTAAAGAATCTGAAATTTTTTTTTTTTAAAGAGAATTTTAAAATATTTTTTATTTTTTTGTTTTTGGTGGACACAACATCTTTTTTTTAAATTCTAATTATCTTTTTTTTTTTTTTGGAAGGAAAGAAAGAGAGAAATTTTAATATTTATTTTTTAGTTTTCGGCGGACACAACATCTTTGTTTGTATGTGGTGCTGAGGATCGAACCCGGGCCGCACGCATGCCAGGTGAGAGCGCTACCGCTTGAGCCACATCCCCAG